AAAGTTCCCCACGAAAATCTTTTTTAGGTCCGCCCAACTTTGGATTCTGTTGGGTGGAAAGTGTTCCAACCATGTTCATGCTGAATCGGCCAGGAACAATGGAAGGTTGCGGATAATGAAATTGTCATTATCCGCTCCACCGGCTTAGCAAGCAAGCCGATAATCCTCGAGCCACAATCCAGGGTTCGTTTCCCCAGAGTATTTGGGATGTTGGTTGGTGGTCGGTACTGTGGTGGGAAGACTACGTTGAGGATGTGTCGGCCGAAGGCCTGAGGTCCCGACAAGTCGGGGCTCAGGCTTCGGTCCTCGCCGCTGTCATAGCGTCCTCCACGACAAGGGTGGTAGCCGCGACTAGCTCCCTCCCTTGCATCGCCATGAGTACGCCTAGGGCATCGATGGTGTCCTGCGCGTCACGGTGGTGGTCGAGATGCTCATACATCAGGACCGCAGCCTTGTGGACTGACGCATCCTTGTTGGGTTATTCTGAGGGCGTGCGCTGGCTAGCGTTCGAGCTCTCAGCCTGCTGCGCCGCCGCACGCTCGAGTAGCTTGCGAATCTCATGATGGGCCCGACGATCCTTGGGCGTCGTGGGCCTCGAGAGCCCCCGGAGCAAGGCCGCCGCAGCAGCGATGTTCTAGCTTGCTCGGGCGAAGTGTGGGAGCGCTTCATCGTCCTCGATGATCCTCTGGTTCATGTTGTGGGCCATGGCGCGCGCACATCCACTATCTCCATGGCGCTCGATCTCTCGCTCGAGCTCCGCGCGTTCTTGCTCGAGTTGGAGTCACGCTTCTTCGAGCTCTTGGTGCAAGCCTTCAGCTACTCCACTCGTAGGTGGGGCGGGGCCCCAGCACCCCCCTCGGTCTCATCGTCGAGGTCATTCATTGGGGTAGCCTCTTCTTCGTGGATGCTTTCGATGTGTCCCTCGGGGGTACATACCATGAAACACTCATGAGAGGGGTGATGGCTCCCCCTGCTGGAGTCAAAGCTGGAGGGTGACTCTAATTCTCCTATGAGGAGGTCATGGAAAGTCTCCATGATATATTCGGTCATCCCCACGAACTCGTCGTTTGTAGGGGATGGAGGTGTGTGTTGCACCATAAGGTGGCCAGCGGTCTCTACGGCGTTGCGTAGACCGGACGGGAGCACTGTTGGGGCATTCTGAATGAGGTATTCCAGGGAGAGCGGCTCTCCTCCGGTGAGCTATGTTATGACGTTAGCGAACGAGAAGGTGAGGTGGCGCAGGTTCTCTTGGGACGGTCGGGGTCCCAAGAAGGCACCGAGCTGGCGCTCTAACCTCCCATAGTCGAAGCCAAGGAGCTGGTCGCTCCCGGGGGTGTGGGCCTCCGATGTGTGCAGCTGTAGTTCTTCAAGCGCCTCGGTGATCGCGTCAAGGCCGACAAAGTGGAGAGGTTGGATGGCAATGGGAGTCCACACCAACTCTCTCTCTCAGTCGTGACGATGAAGTCCAGGTTCTCGAAGCGCACGTGCATGCTCGGGACCCAGCTGACGTTGTGACTAGCCATCCGAGGCCTGGTGTGGATGTCGAGATGCGCAAAAGGCCCCTACCTGGCATGTCAACTTTCGGTGTTTCGAGTCACCACCGACAAGTAAATTTCTAATATTGCGCGTTTGGCTTGGATGGTGTGCTTAGAGGACATGAGGTTTATACTGGTTCAGACAGAATATCCCTACATCTAGTTCGTTGCTGCTGCTCATGTTACTAGCACTGAAAGTTCATAATAGAGGTTACAAATGGGCGAGAGAGGGATGGGTCCTAAGTCTCTGGTGAAAGGGGTGAACGGGTGCTGAGAGAGCTTGGTTGCTTTACGAATGGGCGAGAGAGGGATGGGTCCCAAGTCTCTGCTGTGAAAGGGGTGAACGGGTGCTGAGAGAGCTCGGTTGCTGCTCAACCTTGTGTTCGGGGTTCGATGGGTTTGTTCGAACCTGGCTTGAATCGATCCGATCGATTATCAGATGCCCCTTAATGGAGCGCCCTGCTTTCCCTTTTATAGGCCAGGGGAAAGCATGGGTTACAATGGAGGGAAAGAGGAGAACGAGAGAGAGCCAAGGCCTTTAGGATCACCGGGTCCTTCTTCTCCTTCATGCGGGTTCTGCCAATACTATAGATGTCAATAGGGATGGTGCCACATCGCGGTCTTGTCCGTCACTAGCGCCATGTGCAGGCTTCATCTGCGGTCATGGTGCACCACTCCATCCTGGTGGACGTCGTGGTGAACCGACGTACCTATCAGTGTTCGTACGAGGGTTAGACAGAATAGTATCGGTACGCCCAACATTGTTCTTGATGTGAATCCTCAGGTATAGCCCGTCGTGGCAACGGGTTACATCAGGACATGTTGGTCTCTTTCTTGGAGTCAGAGTTTTGACCTAGGCCCATACGCTTGGAGCCGAAGTGGTTGGCGGTGGTATGGGACCCCATCGGGCGAGGCCGAGCCCGCACCCGAGGGGTCGAGCAAGGCGGAGCCTGCCCCCAGAGGTTGGGCGAGGCAGAGCCCGTGACCTCAGGGTTGGGCGAGGCGGAGCCTGTCCCAGAGGTCGAGCAAGGCGAAGCCCATGGCCTCGAGGTCGGGCGAGGCGGAGCCCATGGCCTCAAGGTCGGGTGAGGCGGAGCCCTCCCATAGTGGTCAGGCGAGGTGGAGCCCTCCCCTAGAGGTCGGGTGAGGCGGAGTTCGCCCCCAAAGGTCGGGCGAGGAGGAGCTTGCGCGCCTGGGGGTCGGTTTGAGCCGTAGTCACGCTCTTGACTGCTCAGATGAATCAATGTTGATGGTCATTAGCTCCTCTTCGGGTACCCTAGTATAGATCCTCAACATCCGGTGATAGCTCCGTTGAGCCACTGGACAAATCTAGTGAACACGGCATATTAACACTCAAGACCCTTCTTGCAACCCTCTCTGGTGTAAAGGTATGGTGCGAGCTCTGGTGGCCCCACCAAACAGCTCCGGTGGTGGCTTTGAATTTCCCCATGCTTAGACAAGGCCACACCGGATCCCATTAGTGCCACCACTCTGGTGCACACAAAAGTCAAGGTGCCCAACTAATTTTCTCTCAAGTCAGCGCACTGACCGAGAGCTCCGGTGGGTACTCTAGTGCCCACCGGACAACTCTGGTGAGTGCTAAAGAGCACAACCAACAACCCTTCTCTCTCACTTTGCAAGCTCCCAAATATTTTGAAAAACATCTAAGCACTTGAGTTAGCATTTTTTCAAAGTGTTTTCAAAAACATTTTCGCTTGCTACTCACCACATCACTAAGTTTAATTTAAAAGCATGTAAATCAACACCTAGTGGCACTAGATGATCGTGTTTGCTCTTAGAGTTCCCCTCTTAGTAGTATGGCCATCTATCCTAAACCCGACCACACACTCTATTGCATCTCAACCAGTGAAAACAAAACCCTATCATATACCTTTGCCTTTAGGCTTGGTTCCACCTCTTCATCTTCTCCAAGTGTGAGCTTTCTCCAATTAAATTGTTCACCCTTCATCCATCTCCAAGGCTTGCTCATCATCTTGGTTTGGACCTAACCTAGCTTAATAAACACTTAGCAAAAGGTTAATCCACTAGTTATCTCAATTACCAATACCAAACATAGGGCTTTCAAGTCACCGAAGCTCTTCGGTGTTGCATGGGAGAGTGCACCGGAGAGTGACTCCAAAGAGCACTTTCTTGGGCAAGTTTGGAGCTTAACGCACACTAGAACCCTCCGGTGGTACAGCGGAGATGTCACTGGATATCCCGTACAAGTGCAACTACTGGTTTGAGTTAGCTATTGAATTAATTACTCTAGTGTGAGCACTACAGTGCTCACCAAAGCTGTCCGATGCACATGATTTCTATGCAGAAAGTGGTAGTGGCTAGTTTCTTCAGTTGGCTTATAAATAGGTAGTGTGCTCGGGCATGTAAGCTCTCTTGGCACTCCCTACCAACTTGCACACCCTTTGGTGCTCAAGACACCTCTCCACTCACATTTTCTTAGTTGAGATTGCATTTTGGTGATATTAGAGTTGATCTAGTGCATTTGCATTGAGAGTTTGCATCTACTGGCTCTAGTGATTGTGTCAGCTGCAAGATTCTTGTTACTCTTGGTGGTTGTCGTCACCTAGATGGCTTAGAGTAGTGGTGATCCCTTGAAGCACTTAATTGTACATAGTAAGGTGCTCAGGATTTTGTTTGTGAGGGTTTTTTTGTGCTCATCCCTACTAGGAAGGCAAAGTGCAACTCTAGTGTATTTCAAGGCTTGTGGTGTACCTTGTGATTGAGCCAGCTCATACACTAGCACTCACGTCAAAGCCAATCTTGAGAGATCATTGAGCTAGTAGTGGAGCAGTGATCCTTGGACACACCCCAACGAGGATGTAGGATATATCTTTGTGTCTCCTCTTGTGTGTTTTGATCTCTCTACACTTGTGCTTTACTTTAGTGCATTTACAATTCCTAGTGTAGAGCTTGTAGTTCTTGTTGCTAAGGTGTTGTTGTAGCTTAGTTTACCTTTCGAGTGACATATCTTTAGTTGCTCTTTCCTTGATCACTAGGTGTATGGTTGTTCACCCTAGGCTTGTTAACCAATAGCGAGAGGTAGTGCTTATAATATTAGGGCATTCTTTATTACTAATTAATTTTGCCTAGTGTTGTTGTTTTTAGAAAATTTTAATTTGGCTATTCACCCTAGTTTATCCCCTAGTTCCTTGATCCTTACAAAGGAGAGAGAGACAGAGTTCACATGAAGAAGAAGAAGAGGTGTCCGTAGCCAAGCCGTATCCCTATTCAATGGCCAGAAAAACCGTATGGCGGGACCCGAGAAAGCAGTGATGGAACCTAAAAGAAGCATGCATTTATGGTGAATAAAGGAAGTAAGAATTTATTTTCTGCTTGATTTTGTTGAGGCTGTTGTAGCAAGAACCCTCGTCCTTGCCAATATAAACAACCACTTCATCTGTGGAAGCAATCACAACAAGAAACTATCCAAGCCTTGGATCCAAAATGGATCACTTCAACCCTGCTCTGCCACCAACACAGGCTTTGGTTCCATTCCAAGAGGGAAACAAGCATGCCTTCGTTGTAGAGGAGGTTTATGGCGAGCAAGTGGAGGAGCATGACGCTAGTAATGGCCATGATGGTAGCTTTAATCAGGGGAAGCACATCGCGAGGGGTCACTGGCGTCCTTCTGAGGATGAAAAACTAAAAGATTTGGTTGCACAGTATGGCCCCAAGAATTGGCGCCACATCGCTGAGAAGCTTGAAGGCAGATCAGGTATGATTTCTCAAACACTGCAAAGATATTTAGCTTCTCCCAAAAGTTTAAGTATTGTTAAAGAGTAATTACGATCTTTACTCCAATGAAACAGGAAAGAGTTGCAGGCTACGGTGGCTCAACCAGCTAGATCCACAACTTAACCGAGATGCATTCTCCGAGGAGGAAGAGGAGCGACTGCTAGCGGCGCGCCATGCATATGGAACCAAGTGGTCCCTTATTGCTCGCCTCTTCCCTGGCCGCACTGATAATGCTGTCAAAAACCACTGGCATGTCATGATGGCGCGTAAGTCCCGCGCAATCCAAGACATTAAGATCTCATCCTCATCCTACCCCTCATCATCGACACAAGGGTCACCACACTTCATGCCAACCATCAACGTCTACCACAACTATGGCAACAATATGCACTCACAGCTCGATGTCCTAGTAGAGGCAGTGACTGCAACCAACATTTACCATGCCAACGAATTCAAAATTCCTCGTCCACCAACACAACACACCTCTCCATAGGAGGTACTATCCCTTGGGTCTACTAGAGTAGGCTTTGTCGCTTCTTGCTCTCCCTCATGGTTTCACATGGTGTGCCTCCAACAAATTACTAACATGTGATTTTTGTTCTGTTTACCTACACAGGTGGCTCCGACATGGCCCCTCATGCTAGGACACCCACTACAACCAACTTCAAAGCAAGCATGCGCTCCACCTTTTCCACCCCATCGCTAGCCACCGACAAGGGTGGTGACAAGTTCACCCCACCATTCTTCAATTTCCTCGGTGTTGATGATGCATGATTAGAGTCCTAGAAGGCGGCGACAATGAACTGGTGGAGAGGTGCAACCCTAAGATATCAAACCACAAGTCATCAAGACAAACCCAAAGTTTATACTAAAGTAGTGCTAAGAAAGTTTTCTTAAAATAAAAACAAATAATGAAATGGGCAATAGCCTCTTGTAACTTTCATATGAATTTCATTTTAAAATAGTCTAATCATGCATGGTTCTCAAATTTGAGATATTGTGTATGTACTAATATGGACTTGGAATCTTACATCCATGCATTCGTGTTCATGAAACACATGAACTTTGCTAAATTTTACTTAAAATGGTTATCTCGTTGTTGTTGGCCAAATTTTGAACACTAGATAGTCTAAAAAACTAGACTTCCATTTTCCAAAACCAAAGTACTCGATTTTAGATAATGCCTAAATGATGTAGAGTCCACCATTGTGTAGCTCTCATTGAGACAATGGAAAGGAACATGTAGATCACCGGATTTGTAGTGCAGATGTGAAAGTTATAGTGAACAGAAAAATTAGATGGTTTTGTTTTGTTGAAGTTATTAGTTTGCGGTTGGTTTAAAGATTGTTCTAATACATTTGAACTTGATATCACACAAGACATGAATATGAAAAACCATAGACAATTGATACACAACCAATAAAACCAAATCAATTTATGTCTTTACTCTTTAGCCTCAAACTCAAATTTCTCTTTGAACCTATGTTCCTATTCATCTCTTGATCCAATGACTATAGGCATGCTATAGGCTTTGTGGATAGCCTTGGGTAACCTAATGATGCACACACCCTGAAGGGGTCCAACCCAAGCAAGAGGTTCGACAATTTTTTGTTAGTTTGCTTGTGAACTGCTTCAAATGATACCCAATTTCGAGGATAAGCACCGTTACATTTCCACAGGGATGCAAAAATAGGATAGAGATGCAAAGATAGGATTGAAACAAAGGATTCATATTGCAATAACTTCTAATGTGTGGATTTTCAACATAAGAGAACTTTTGCCTTCTCCATTACATAGTCACCCTATTTATATAGAGATCTTTGTCCAATCTAACAACTACATTTGAAATATTTAGGGACAACAACACTTTATATATAACTATACATTATTCTAAAGTCACAATGTATGCTCGTCAAGGCCCGATTACACCTTGAGTCTTCACTTCTAAGCTCCCTTCTTGGCTTTTTGATTTGAGCCTTCATCCCATACTCTGGATTTGGGCCTTATCTTTTAGACTTTGTCAAAGATTTGGGCCGTACTCTGGATTTTGCTTGGAGACCTTTACTAAAGGCTGTCTCTTGCACCTACAGAAAACAACAAGAGAAACTATGAGAACCTTTGGGTGTGTTTGGCACCATGAATCATTCCCGATTCTTACGAGAATCAGTAGAATCCGAGCCAAACGGCACACCGGCGAAACGTTTCTGCTCAAAGGAGTTCAAAATGATTCACACATTGTTGCTACGTACATGAATCTTTGAAAACATGGTTTCGCAGTGATTCTGGTTCTTCCTTCTCATATCATATTTTCTTAGTTAATCCCATTTAAGTAGATTGTCCTTAAGTTGTTCTTCGCCCACAAAAGTTTGAAATTTTTTTGAAGCATATTTTCGTTCATACGGTTTTTGTATGGAAAATATATTTTTTAAAATTACCATTCAGCCTACAACCAAACATCTAGTGATTCTGATTCGTCATCCAGAATATTTCCTGAGAGAATAAAGATCCAAAACATTTCTATGAAAATCTGAATGCCTACCAAACGGGCCCTTTGTTGCGGTGAGTAGGGGGGAGGTAAAGCCAAATTTCAAATACACCCAAGACATCCTTTGATTTTAGGATGACACACTTTATCCATCTCTACATACGACATTTAATATGTCCACATAGCAGTGCACATCCTAGAAGTTCCACCCATACTTGATTAAGAAGTTTACTCCATTGGAAAGAAGCATCATCATTAACTCAAGTCATGTATCTTAGAAATTCCATGAAAATGGCTAATTTTGATTGGATTAGAAGTATTGTTTCACAGGGGAGTAAATGTAGTCATAAATTATGTACCGTAGTACTCCCATTTAATATAATTCTATTTGAGCTACATCCATTGAATGTTGTTAGAGCTAAGATGTGTGGCATATCTTTACTACATTCATTCGGGTGCATTTAAGTAGAGCCGTACATAAAAGAATGATGAGGCCAAAGATGCATGGATGTCATGACAAACTTGTATAGTATATTTTGGAATGAGAAGGATGATGTGTAGAACATGCATTTCGCATAGGAGGGAGGAGCCATAGAGAGTTTGTAACTTTCCATAACCAGTTGCAGTGCTGTGTGCAAAGGAACACATGATGGTGTTTGGAGCAGGATGGGAGAATCCAGCCAAGAACACCACCTGAGTGAGCTATCCTTTGCAATGCCCATATGCTCCATAAAAATTTCCATGTGGCCCACAAAGTACATTTGTCAAAAAATTTAGAGTGATTCTTCAATTTGGTATAGTTGGAGGCTGTTTCAGGACCATCGATTTTGCATGGTATCAAGGCTTTGGCCATTCGTCAGCCGAGTCTTTTCCATCTCCAATGCAATTCATCTCCCTCAGCCACTATTTCTTCCACTCTCGTGTCATCATCGTATTTCCCCTCCTTTCCGCATCTTGTCAATTGCCTAATTAACACCCAACTTGTAGGCTTAACCTCATTTGCATGTTGTATATGATTTTCCCCTTGTGGTACGCAGGGGCGAAGCCAGGATAAAATGTTACCGGGGTCGTCCGAATACGGTACTTGGAGCATCTCCAAGAGTATCCATTTTTTTTTTCAAAAACATGGTGTTTTTCAACTCTCAAAAAGGTATTGGGAGAAAAAAGAAGCTCATCTCCAATGGTTTCCAATAAACCACTTTCACAAAATCAAATTTTAGTTCCACAAGGATTTTTTTTGCGACATCTTTTTTTTTTCATGAGCAGATCGATGAAGTTTACTTCGTCATAGGTCGGTGGCGGCGAAGATCTTTTAGGTTCCGTTTGGTTTTAGGAATAGAGAGGAATTGAAAAATAATCTAATAATAAAATAGAAAGCACTTTCTAATAATAAAACACTCCCTAAATTATATAAGCTGCAAATCATGAACCCGAGAGCTCTAAAAAGACGAGGACACGAAATGGATATGGACCGAGGAGGAGCGAGTAGAGAGAGAAACTAAACCATCAATCGGTGCAAAGGCCAGCCGTGCTTGATGCACGTCAATGAACTAGGCTATTACTTTAGTGGGCGCTTGTCATCTGGGCTGACTGCAGCCTGCCAGCTGCTGTGTTCGGTGAGCTGGGTCAAATTATTTTTTTTTGCCGGGGTCTGCACCGGTAAAAATTCGGTAAAAATTCGAGGTCTGAAGCACAACCTGCTCCGCTTTTGCTGTAGCACGAGTCGTCGAGCGTCTGCCGACCCCGATGATACTTGATTCAAGTCGTATGCTCTCGCCCATGGTGGTACGTCGTTTTGCTGTAAAAAAGAGGCAAAAAATGTCCCTTTCACCCCTTCCAATCAGAATGACGCCACACATCTTTTTGACTACAATGAAAACGATACTACTTTATTTTCAGTCGCCATTAGCCTTTAATAATGATTTCTTTACATAATTTAATCTAAATAAATCATAAATAACCCATGATATTGAATCCACAATCGTTGCCATATAGTTCATGCTGCGCTTTTACTCATATAAAAGCGTCGATCTCACATTTTTCCATCCACTGAACTATTCGTCTTTGTCTCGTGCTAAAAAAAGGAGGCAAAAACAATACTTGGTGTTCTACTTTATGCTCCCTTCCTTCCAAAATAAATGACGTTTTTTTTTTTTTGTTAAACATCTTTAATTTTTGACATCTTAATGACCTCAAATTATTCAAAAAAAAAGTACGTATAAATAAATATTATCTACTTTAATATTTCTTTCTTTTATCATTAGAAATACTTTAATAATGATTTTTTTTTTTTGGATTGATTTTATATAAAAATTATATAATAAATAAATAAATTTTATAGTTTTGAGTTTTTTATTTTGAAGTCATTAAGATGCTCAAAAAAATTAAATAATGTTTTAACAAAGATACTAATTATGTATAAGTGCTTATCGCATTGGAAAAATCGTATCTCTCGTATATGGGGTCAAATAGAGATACTTTATATATGAAAATTGTAGTTCTCGATGAGATTTATAACGTTCTAGTTTTGAGTTTTCAAATAAAATTTAAAATGTCAAGCTAAAGTGATAGTTCGTGAAAAAAATTGAGCCCAGCACGATAGTTCGTGGATGGAATCGCGAGGGATCACTTATTTTTTTGACTTATTTTTTTGACGAGGAATAAGACTTAAACTTCTTGGGGCCAGAACTTTCATGTTGTCGCACTTGGCTTGCTGCCCTTGATCAGAGACAAGAATTAGGCACAAATTAACAAACGTTTTTGTTTGTTAGTCATTGTAGCATATTTTAGTTTGTTTTTTTCTTCAATCGTGGTCGTACGGGGAGCCGGTCAGTCAAACAAGCGGTGGTCACTGCATAAACAAAGTGATGCTTCAGTTAGCCTTTTTCTTCTTTTGATTTGAAGCTGCGTCAACGGCTTAACGTTAAGTTCCAACATCTTAGACTTATAAAGCATGCAGACCAGATTGGTATTATTGTAACAGCTACACCATGATCGAGCTGTCAATGTCCTGGTATAGTATGGATATCTCAAATGTTGCGGATTTTCAGGTTAATACCAGAATGTATTTGTCTGCAATGCAGTCAACCTTAACCAATAGTGTTTTTCATACAGAGGCCTTGACGCAAGCCATGACTGCTCCAGTTTGAAATTATAACATCAGCTGTGCATTACTCTAGCAAACTGTGCCGGTATATGTAGAGGAATAGCTAGGTACAGTGGACAGTGAACCGTGAGCTCATGGCATGCCAAATAGCACAAACAAACATAGCAAACGGCAGAGGAACAG